TATAAATATGTGTGTGTGTTTAGTTTTCATTTGGCGATAACACCCCCCCACACACTGCCATTTAGAATAGCCAACGCTCAGTACAGCTAGTAATCACTATGTTGTATATACACGGATTGTATACTGGATACGGGCCTTCAATATATACTAATTACTTTCGTTAAGTATCGACCTGATTGTATACCAAATATTTTATTTATATATACCAAATTGTATACTAGTTTCATATATATACTACCAATTACATTCACTAAATATATCCTAAATACATTCTCTGAATATATTTAATACCTTAAATATATTCCAAATTGTATACTAAATCGTATACGAAATACAGCCACTAAGGGCATACTGAATACATGAATATATACTAAACTGTATACTAAATACATTATATAAGTTAATACCAAATACATTGAGTTCCACATACTCTTACTCTCTATATGCCCCACCTGACGCATAAACTAACCCTTGAAACCCTAAAATCCTAAATACTAAACCCTGCATGCACTTACCGCTCCATAAACGGTGACTGTACTCCGACCTGTGTTGCGGCCAAACACGCGCGCCTGATAATCCGCCGGAGCACATATCCTCTATTCTGATTGGACGGTAAAACCCCATCGCCAATCAGAATCGCGGATGCGCGCAAGTGATCTGCAATGATACGGTACGGTGCCTCAGTGGCATTCTGTAGATCCCGTGCTATCGCCGCCTCTTCAAATGAACGCTCCAATGTGTGTGCGTGTTCTGATGTGTGTACGGGGGTGTGTCTGTGTGTGTGTGAGTCTTCTGGGGTGTGTGTGTAGGTATGTGATCCCTGTGGGGTATGAGTGGGCTCTAGTCCGCGTTCCTGTGGGTGTGGGTGTACCCGTGCCTCTGATTCATGATGGGGTAGGCGTTTTACAGCATTCACAATAGTCAGAAAGGTGTCTATGTTGTAGTTATTGTCTGTGTACTGTAACACTGAGGCCAACCGCTCTAGACCCATTCCGGTGTCCACGCACGTGTACGCTAGTTTCTGCATCCCGTGTTTTCCATCTGCATTAACTGCCGAACGAGTATCTGAGCTGCCATCTATGGGAGTGGCGTGGGTGCCTTCTCCTTGTGTGTGTGTTTGATTGTACTCCATCAGCACGACGTTCCAGATCTCTAGCATGCGGTCGTCTTCCTGTCAGGTAAAGGTTAGCTGAGAGTCAGTTGACGATACACTATATATTTTTATATTTAATTATATATATATATATATATACACAAATATATATATATATATATATATATATATATATTATATATATATATATATTATATATATATATATTATAT